GGGGGGGGGGGGGGGAGATTTTACTCCAGGAGATTTTACTCCAGGGGGAGATTTTACTCCAAGAAGAAGTTACCTGTGGAGATATATATCGGAGAGAGTCTCCCACATGAGATTCGTGCACCAACACCAGACCCTGACAGCAGGAGCGTCACCACACAGTTGTTCTGTCGCAGTGTTGATTATAAGATGAAGATTCTGACGGTTCAAGAGGAGCGAATCAAACTGCAGATTTGGGATACGGCAGGCCAGGAGAGATTTAGAAATATTACCCCTGGTAAGGCTGATCATAAAGTGGGCCGCCAGGCGAGAGGAAACCATGCATTATTCGGTGGTAGTTTATTTCAGGAATTCTAACGGCATCGTTCTTGTATTTGACGTGTCCAATATTGACTCATTTGAAAGTGAGTGCACACACGGACACACAATCATTCTGCCGAAATGTGCCGACTAATTGCTCACAACAACAGCGTATACCGACTGTGTATACCAACTGTGTATACCGACTGTGTATACCGACTGCTTGTACCAACTGTAATAACGATCTCATCGGTAGATGTAACGTATTGGTTAGCCTGTCTTGAGAACCATGGCACGTCCCAGAAGCCGAAAGCTCTAGTTGGCAACAAAATCGACTTGACCAAACGCAAGGTCTCCAGAAAACGAGCTGAGGCGTTGGCTGTCAAGCACAACATTCCCTACTACGAGACTTCTGCCTTGAACAACGTGGGTATCGATGAGGTGTTTGAGTAAGATAGCACGGTCAGTCACGAGAGGGACGGTCAGTCACGAGAGGGACGGTCAGTCACGAGAGGGACGGTCAGTCGCGAGAGGGACGGTCAGTCACGAGAGGAAGGGTCAGCCACGAGAGGAAGGGTCAGCCACGAGAGGAAGGGTCAGCCACGGGAGAGAGGGAGGGCTTTTGTTGCAGAGAGGGAGGGCTTTTGTTGCAGAGATATTTGTCTCAAGATCAGGAGCAGTCAAGGTCCTAAGCCGAGCAGTCCCCAGAAGCCCGAGGACAAAATATTCCGACTGGTTGCGGACCCAGAGGGCATTGAAACGATTCCGACGCAGGAGGCGTCTCAGTGCTGCGGCTACAACATCTCTACCTTGACCAAGAAGTTCAGCTCTGGTCATGGCTCAAACGCCAGCCATGGCTCCGGCATCAGCCACGGCTCCGGTTCTGGTCACGGCTCCGGTTCTGGTCACGGCCACGTCTCGGGCCCGAGCCACGGCCACGTCTCGCGCCACGGTTCGGGCGGGCACGTTGCCAATCAGGCTTTGGAACGCTCCCCGGTCTCGGGGCGTTCCACAACTTCCGGACGCACCCCTAAGTCCGGGTCGACGCAGCACTCCGGGTCGCCGCAGAACGCTTCCGGAGGTCGTGAGGTCTCTCCTCCGTCCCGTCTCTCCATCCCGGTGGTTCGCTCGACCGTTTCGTCCACCGTGTCCCACCGGTCGCTGGCGTCTCGGTACTCCAACGTGTCTTCGCACCGAGCCGCCACCAGTCCGCAGGCCACCAGTCCGCAAGCCACCAGTCCGCAAGCCACCAGTCCACAAGCCACCAGTCCACAAGCCACCAGTCCGCAAGCTGTTCCGTTAGCCGCAGCCACGCCCCAAGCAGCCCCCAACCAACCAGCCCCCCCTGTCGGCCGCTCAAATACTCTCAACTCGCCTCCGACCGGCGCGTTCGACTAATTTTTACACCACGGCCGAAGCTTAGGCCGAAGCTTGCTTCGAGCACACTACCGCCGTCGTCTACACACATCGCCGTCACAAACCCACTCCTCATCGTGGGCGGCTTTCGAGTCCTGTGCACCCCCTGAAGCGTCGTCCGGGCTTTTTGTTGCACTTGGTTCCTCTGTTGCGCTTGGTTCCTCCGTTGCGCTTGGTCTTCCTGGGGGGCCTGCTTGGTCGGTATGCTGCGAGTCTGTTTGTTCATTGGCTTCCGCTCTTGCTGGTTCAGCATCTTGCATCATTGACAGGGATAAGAGCAACGATTCCATAAGGGTGTCCAACTCTTGCAGGGCGTTCTGGCTCTGGCCACTAAGCCGGTATTCGTAGCAATCCTCGTACTCCACGAACCCGGCCCTTTTTAGCAGCTTGATATACGCTCTCTGGTCCAGCTGCAATCAAAGTGGAATAAACAAGTTGAGAAGCAGGTCATGGCGATAAGGGAAGGGAGGCAGGGTAGGGAGTCCGGGAGGCAGGGTAGGGAGTCCGGGAGGCAGGGTAGGGAGTCCGGGAGGCAGGGTAGGGAGTCCGGGAGGCATGGTAGGGAGTCCGGGAGGCAGGGTAGGGAGTCCGGGAAACGTGCTACACCCAGGTTTTTAAGTAGAAGGGGAAGTGTGGTGATCGAACCTTCTTCTGGATTTGCTTGTTGGTCTTTTTTAGGGCGCGGTACTTTGCGTTTTCCGGGTGTTCTATCAAGTTACCTGTGATTGTCTTCAGAGTCTTGAACGCCTCTTGCTTCCGGTCGAGTGGGGCCGAATCCAGCTCGGCCAAGATCGTGTCGTAGGTTAAGTTGTCACATTCGTTGCCGTTCAAGACAGTTCGAGAGTCTAAAGCACCAGGTCGAACAGGCGGTCGATCTGGCAGCGCCTGGAGGAACTGTTCACCTCTCTGTCGGACTAATGCGGTGGGGTTTCCGAGAAACTGTTTGCATTCCTGACCTTGGCGGTTGACCAGCTTCAAGCACGGGATACCGGTCACACCGAAATGTCGACACGTTTTGTCAATATTAACACGATCTGGAGTTAAGCGATAGTGTGTCTGGGTGTGTGCATTTGTGTGTGCATTTCGGTGTGTGCATATCGGTGTGTGCATATCGGTGTGTGCATTTCGGCGTGGATCTGTTAAGTAAATAAGCGTACTTTCGAAGGGAATTGCCAGCCAGGGCATTTCTGCTCGATACGTCTGGTACTGGCTGCTGGAACGGTCAGCGGAGCAGAAAACCACTTCAAAGGACTTCTTGCGGGCTTGGGCAGTAAGGTAGAGGGTGCGCAGGATGGGAGTGAACATTCGGCAGGGAGGACAGTACGCTCCGCTGAAATAAATACCGATGACTTCTGCGTCCACGTCCTGAAGGAGGACGCGCCGGCCGTCACGCGCCTGTAATGACGGCCCCAAGAGACCAGCCAGCTCGCCGCCCACCGGGAGTTGCCGGGGCCCGAAAGCCGGAAATGGTGCATCCTCAATAGCCATCCGCAAACAACCTCGAAAATATTAACCTTCCCTGCCGCCTTTTCACCCACCCAGCAACCGGTCATGACCTCACCAGCAACCGGTCATGACCTCACCAGCAACCGGTCATGACCTCACCAGCAATCGGCCATGACCTCACCCCAACCGGTCATGACCTCACCAGCAACCGGTCATGGACCTCACCAGTATGAAGACCTGGTCCGGGCTGATCACTATCTGCCCTACTGGCCGCCATCTAAGAGAATTAAAAATCCGCCTCCGAGAATTGGTGGATATGTCGAAGAAGAACTCGATCTCTAAACGGAGGAAAGACCATGAGGCTCTCAAGCAGCAGTTGCTGGCAGAGGAAGCTGAGCGCGTAGACAAACGTATAAAACGAAGCAAGAAGCTTGTAAGGAGAATACCACTACCAAGCCTCCCACACAACATGGGCTTTATGTCCACGTGCCTGCTTGCTATATCCACGTGCCCGCTCGCTATGTCCGTGTGCCTGCTTCCTATGTCTATGTGCCTGCTTGCTACGTCTCTAATTGTAGATAGCGCCACCCTTGCACGTCACTCCAAACACCGACTGTGCGCTGGTGTCAGAGGAGTCCATCGCAAAAGCCAGACGGAGAGGCAGCACACGAAAAGTTCTGAAACATAAATCCAAGAGAGAAGCCGCGATGGACAAGGGCAAGAAGAAAATTCGCAACGCAATCCTCATGGCCTAGAGCATTTGCTTAGAGCGCGTGTCCAGCTATTATGGGGGTTCTTCCAAATTGGAGGTTCTTCTGATATTCGCATCGATCCTTTATTACTGCCGTCCGTACGTGTCCCCGCACACGTGCTTTTGGGTGTTCCTGCATACGTTTTCGGTGACAAGCATGCATGATAAAAGGTTGTTCAAGAGAGTTATTTCGGGCAATAGTTGGTTTCTGTACCTAACTAATTGGGGGAGTAACTGGTGGGTACGGAACGAAATGTCGGGAAGGGAAGAAAGTGGGTAAAAAAAATTGCGATGAAGTGTTTGAAGACGGCCTGTCCGAGTGATGGTCCGCGCGAAGGAGTGGCAGTGGTGGCCATAGCCACGGGCTTTACTGGTGTAGCCAGCAGAACGGTGCAAAACGTCCACCTGACCCAGAACCAAGTGACACATCAGAAGGTGTTGGGTTATGCACCGATTCTAGCACACTACTCTGACCCCCGCAAGCTGGTTGAAGAACGCGCCGTTCCCGTAGGACTTGATCACGGCGGGCTCGTCAAACTGGGTCTGAACGACATGCGTCCCGCCTCTCTCAAATCCGGCCAATCAAAGGGTCGATCAGCAGCGGTCCCAGCAGCGGTTCCAGCAGCAGGTGCTGCGGGAGCGCGGCAACAACTACTGGCCCTCATCAAGGTCTACCGCAAAGATCATACGCAGCTCACAGCGTACGTGGCCAAGCGGAAACTTACTGTGAAGTCCATCCGAATTTTGTGGGGCACTTGGCGCTCTGCTGCCACGGACCCAAAGACCAAAGCCATTATGAAGCGAATGAAACCCTACGTCCAAGCAATCATCAAGAGTCTCACACCCAACGTAGCTCCCGTGCCAACCTCTGGCAATACATCCGGCCCCACCGGGGGCAGTGGGTCAGGCGGTGGCTTCGGAACTAGCGTCGGCTTCACTGGTGGGCTCGGCGGTGGCTTCGGTGGTGGCTTCGGTGGTGGCCTCCGCGGCGGCTTCGGCGGTGGCTTTGGAACAGGTGGTGGTGGTTTCGGTGGTGGTGGTTTCAGTGGTGGTGGTTTCGGTGGTAGTGGTTTCGGTGGTGGTGGTTTCGGTGGTGGTGGTTTCAGTGGTGGCGGTTACGGAGGCGGTTACGATGGCGGCAGTTCAGGTTTTGACGCTCTCCGTTCGGTTGCGGACCGGGAACCGGAGCAGCCGGTTGTTGAGCCGCAGCCGGTGGTTGACCCGCAGCCGGTGGTTGACCCGCAGCCGGTGGTTGAGCCGCAGCCGGTGGTTGAGCCGCAGCCGGTAGGTGCACAACTGACTGGGGAGCGGGCGGCTGAGGTTATGGCCCCGAAGGAGCACGACAGCACGGGGTCTCGGGTTTGCGTGGATGCGGTGCCAATCCCGAAGGAGCGGGCTGGCCCGCCGAGGCAGCCGGCGCCAGCGGGTCGCCGAGAAGTCCCGTGGAGCCGGTCT